AAAAAAGTCAAAAGGCTTTGGAGTGAAGAGGAATAGGTAGATACCTCTTGGCCTATACTGCATCTGCGCTCGATTATTTGTTTGTAACGATTGTTCGATGAAACGGACATTACGAGGTGAAGCAGGCATTGATGCTGAAATGAAAACGATTTCTTTTTCCACTCAATCGACATCAAATACAGAAGCTATGTATACAGTGTAACTTAGGGATAACATAATTGCTGGAAAGTCGGCGGTTGGAATAATTTGGCTAGCCACGTTGGAATACTCTCGGCTGAAGAGAAGAAAAGGTCAAAAAAGAGTGTGAGCTACCGGCTGTACATTCAAATCGATCATGCAAAACCCCTTTCCTGACATTGAAACACTGAAGGCACAGTTCACGACGAAATGGCTTCTGAGATCTCCTACTAGGATGAACCTATGACCTTGGCTATGTCGGGTCAAAAAAGACCTCGACATGGCGTTATAAGGACTCCAAAAACCGGCTTGGCCGACGTACACACCCAAAAATGGCCGTGTTATAGCGGCCTTGTCATAATGAAGCGTCAGGACGCTGACGAATGGTATGCTTATGTTGGAGACACCCAGATGGTTACAGACACATAATCTCGCCCTACCCATATTTTACTAATTTTTTGAAGTCTTGTGTTTCTTTTTGACAGACTTTCCTAAGTAAGCACCAACACGAAGCCTCAATAGTGATGAGCTGGAGGCACTTGAAGAGTGAGTGTGTTAGGGAAATCCCACAGGAAAGACGATCTTTTCATCGGAGTCTGGCCGGCGACTTCTACTCTGACGTTTGTAGCGCAGCTTCTCAATTACAGAGAATAAGGAAGGCGAAAGATTAGTGGAGTTCATTATCTTAACAGTACCATCCGTATTAAGTCGCAGTTCTAGAAACCCCTCACCTGCGAAGGATTGAAATTTCCCCACCCTAAATTTCCTACGCGAGATCCTGCCTATCCTTGCGTGCAAGAGCAAAGCGAAGATATCTTTCTTCAGAAACATTGAGTTAATATAGTGAGCTGCATTACTAAGTAACACCCAAGCTTGCTAAGCCGTGCAGAGAAATAATGGAAAACTTGAAAAGAAGACGGGACTGGTAGAAACAAAGCATGTAGGATTCGAAAACACCATTTCCAGTGGTAGTAGGAGAGCGCTGCATCCTTCCTGAACTCTTCATCTGCTTGGCTCCTGCGCTAGCAAAGTCGGCACTTGGTTGGCGTCGTTCATTGCGTGATGGGAACAGTGTACGGAGCTTCCCGAAACATGCAGTTGCAGAAGGAAATACAAGTGTTCCTTACTATCCCTAGCTTGCCATGTACATCTGGCAGTCAATCTTAGGAAAAGCAGTTCTCGAAAGCGAATCTCTAGGAGGTTATAACTAACCCCTCACCCGTCCAATCTGCTGTTTTGAGGTTTTTTG